TTAAAAAAAAATATACATATATAAATATATATAATATATAATTTTGAAATATTTAAAAATTATTTAACATACGTTCAATTGTATACGTTCATTGATCTCTCATTCATCGTAATTATTTTCTAAAAAAATGTTTTCCTACAAAGATTCTTCCTCCATTAAAAAAAAAAAAAAAAAAAAAAAAAAAAAAAAAAAAAAAAAAAAAAAAAAAAAATTCAATTATCATCGATCGATCGATAAGACGAGAGAGAGAAAGAAAGAAAGAGAGTAAGAGAAAGTTAGAGACGGACAGAGTTTAAATAATACGTTTAAATAATACACGTGATATTTATTCGTGCCGGTGATTTCATTGCGAATAGACATGACGCGAGCTTTAACGTGGAAAATTTATTATATCGTTATTTCTATTAGTTTTACCTCGTTTATTAGAAAAAGAGGGAGATATATATATATATATATACACGTATATACATACATAAATACATACATACGCACGTACATAAATGTGTATACATATAATATATCTGTATAAACATGTATATTATACGTATAGAAAGTAGGACTATGGTTGGAATAGAGAAAAGAGAGTTAAACGAGCTAACACAATACGATACGCCAAACCAACGCGAGAGTATGGTGGTAGGATAGAGAGATGTGTACGGGGGAAAGGGGATGAAAAGGTGGGAGGGAGAGGGATGAGAAGAACGCCTTTCCCCGCCTGTATTATTCCATTAACAGTCCGCGAATGATATGGAACAAAGTTTTAGCCGGCGGCGACGTTATTTAATTTTCGAACGTGCTTACACAAAAGCTCGGATCCATTCACGAATGCGCTTTAAATGAAATGAAAAATGCGGGATTCCGTTCTCTTTTCTCTCTCTCTCTCTCTCTCTCTCTCTCTCTCTCTCTCTCTCTCTCTCTTTTTCATTCTTTCTTTATTTCTTTATTTTACCTTTCTTTCTTTTTCCTTTATCATTGAATATTACCGACTTTAAACCCCTCGAGCGTATACGCGTTGTAATATAAAGTTTAACGAGAGGAAAAAAATTTGTTTCGTAAAATCAGTTGTCCCCTTTTGCGTATTTGCACGACCATTTTTGTTTCTCCTCTCGCCCCTCCCCCGCCACCCTCCCCCGCCCTCCACCCAACAGCACTTTTCTTTTTCTCTCTCTCCTTTTTTTGATAGAGTATAAAAATAAACCAAAAATTCGATAGTATCGTTAAGTAAATTTAACGATGACGTATATACGTTTTTACTTTGACGTTACAATTTGTACAATGGTGATAGGTCGGAACCATAAATGTGAAAAACAAACATAAATATGGACAGTATGATCACGAAATATAACTTTTGTTTGAAACCATCAGAATGAATAACGATCTATTTCATGGTGGTCTCGTTCTCTCGATGGTCTTTCGTTATATCTATCGTTTGACTTTTTTTTCTTTTTTCCTTTTTTTTTTCTCCTGCTTCATTTGAACGATGAATTTTTCAACACATACACACACACACACACACACAGGTAGAAAGAGAGAGAGAGAGAGACGAATGAATAGTCAATAATGACACGAATATTTTCATTTTTCACGCTTTAACCATTTATTTTGAGAGCGAGAGAGAAAGAGAGAGAGAGAGAGAGAGAAACTATGGAATTTCGAAAATACCGCGAATTATATCCCAGAAATTGGAATCGCAATGAAAACGAAATTTTTACGAAATTATAACGAAGCTTCAAATTATCGTCATCGATGCTTGCGTAAAAAATTGGTTTTGACTATGAAATAAATTCATTTTTTTCTCTTTTGTTATCTCTATTTCTTCTTTATTTTCTAATTTTTATTTATTTATTTATTTATTTTTCTTTTTTTTTCTTTTTTTGGAATTTCATGACCAATCTCACATGCGAGATCACGAAAAATCATCGATAACGAGTATCAAATGTCACGCCTTCCATGGTTTCTATATATCCCCACCCTTTTGCATATCTCCTACGTATACTGTATCAATATATATACACACACACACATATATATATATATATATATATATATATGTGGTATTCAGCAGAATTTTGCGATAAACTTTATAGAGGGACGATGTTAAATCGACCATTTGAAAAATTTCATTTCACGGTATACGGCCGATGTAAAAGCTTTTGCATCCGGACGATCGACCCTATCGATATATATCTCGAACGATCATGGACCATCGTCGTTATTAAATGTTTTGCAATGTCGAAGGAGAGAATATAAACACGCTTGGAGATACGTTGATAAGCACGGCCGTACGAGCGCAACGTCAAAATTGTATGTATTAAACGTTGATACTTTTTTTTTTTTTACATTTTTCAATAAATAATAATAACAACAAATAATTATTATTCTTTACATATCGGATAAATCATCGAGAGAGATCGAAACTTAACAATTGTTTAATATTCTTCTGTAATTTTTACGAAGAAAAAAAACAAAAAAGAAGAAAAAGAAAAAAAAAAAAAAAAAA